CTTGTCGAGGGCTTGGAGTTGAATATTTCGACCGCGAATGAATCATACGAGTTGCTCTTGAATTGGTCTGGACAAAAAATTTCAAAAAATAAAACGGTTGAACAGCAAAAACTGCTAAACTCAGCACATTTCAACAATACATTCTCTTCCCCTAGCTCATTTTCAAAATCTATGCACGATTTTCCAGTGCTTTGATTTTTTTCGTTATATTATTATTACAAGCACTGTAATGACCGCATTAGCCGCTACCTCTTCTTTTTCAAATTTTCGTGAAAACTGTGAGACTTTGAATTTTTTGTCACATCTAATCTCTAAGATATGTCTTTCTATTCGCAACTGGATTAGCAGCTAAATCTTATATCCGCTTGTTTTTTGCATAGACTTTCTGCAAAAGAAGCTCGAGTTTCTTCTTGAAAAATGAAAACCCTTGTTCCCGAACCCGTAATCTCGCGTATATCATGTTCATTTTACGTTTTATGTGAAGGTTTCCAGAAAATTCATTTTCACTTTTCTAGATGGTTATCTCGGACGAGGAGTATATAGCCGAAAGTCGTGATCCAACACCAGAACCGACACCCGAATACATCGAAGGAGGTATGAGTTTGCACTTTTCTTAGCATACACTCACTGGAATGTGCAGAATTTCAGGCTCTCATTTTTCTGCACTTTTGCGTAAACTATGAAAGAAACGGGCGAGAAATAGGCTAAATGAACGCACAGATGGGTCTGTGAGAAGACTCAGATGTGTGGCGCGATTGTTCGAGAAAAAACATCTTTCATATTCATTGGCAAGGATGCGAAAATAATTGGCTGTCGGAAGCTGCGGTGTGTAATTTCGCGTGAAGAAAGGGGGACTCGAAGGGGGGAGGAAGGGTCATTGACGCAATTTACGATTCTGAAGTTATTAAACAGCGAAAGTCAACTAAACTATAACCAACAGTGATTGAAAAGCGTACCACAGACTCTACCTCTGATTGGCCGAAGAATAGCTCTTCTCTGATTGGCTGACCAATCACCAATCACATAGCTCCATTATCATTTGCAGCAAGCCATTTGTAATTCTTTTAGGAGACTCACCTACCCATGGAATTCTAAAAAATGGTAAAGCACCAAAAGAAGAGAAAAAGAAACATCTTGATGGAGAGATATGGAGCGAAGAACGGGTCCCAGATATGCAATTAGGCAGTAAGTCCTTGCTCAAGTGGGTAACTGAACCGACTTTGGTAATCTCACAAATTGATTTAGAATGCCGATATGTGCGATTACATGATAATGTAAATTATGTCGCAGCGGGTATTATATTACGAGGTGATGGTCCCAATACAGAAGTACTCCTGATTCAAGAAGCAAAAAAGACTTGTTATGGAAAGTGAGTGTTTCTAACATTTTCTTTTTATCGTGGTTCCAAAATGGCTGAGAATTGATATAATTTACGTTTTCTAGATGGTACATGCCTGCAGGACGAGTAGAAGCTGGCGAGACACTAGAGGTTAGAAACATTTTTTTGGACCTTCTCTCTTATTCTACGTAATTCAAGAATGCTGTGAAACGAGAAGTGCGAGAAGAATCTGGCTATGAATGCGAAGTTGTTGAATTGTTATCATTAGAGGTGTGTTAATCATTGATTGTCCATATTTCGATAATGAGAATGAGGGTTAATCCAGGTCCAAGGCAGCGGATGGTATCGATTTTCGTTTTACTGCGAAATCGCGAGTAAGTTGACCTTCACATGTTAGTTTGAAGTTTTTTGTGAGTTATTTTATGATATCATTTCTTTCTCCACTTGCTCATAATTCATTCAGTTAGTCACTCATTGCTTCATTCTTCCATTCCAATCGTTCTTTATCTATTCACTATCACCCAATCATATTCATAAATTATAGCTGTTCGTAAATTTGTATATCTATTCATCCGTCAAAAACATTCACTCAGTCATCCATACAGTCATTCGTATCATCCATCTACTCACCCATATATTCGTTCATTAATTCTTTCTTTCCTCTACTTTCTTTAACCGTTCATGCATGCATGCATTCATTCATAACTCATTTATTCATCCATTTCATATACATCACATTCGTACATCCCTTCATTTCGTCATCAAATTCAACCTTATCTACTTATTGATTTATTCCTTTTCACCCACTCATTCTTCCATAGTATTTTCTTTTACTTCATCTTATTCACTCCATTCAAGTCTCCTTCTTCAATCGATTCCATTTGTACATTTCCGCCTAGATTCATCCATGAGTCATTCGATCATTCACTTTCTTCTATTTCACACATTGTCGTGGCAATCTCAGGAGTTATTCTTTGGAACTAAGAG